TTATTATTATTATTATTATTATTATTATTTCATCATTTGCCAACAAGCTAAAACACTTACATTGACCTGGTGGTCAATGTAAGTGTTTTGCGTTTGGCAAAATGCCTCATTTGTCTGTGCAAAATTCATCTGAACATCTGTATGTTTATGCAGATTCTTAGACACATGCACTGCAGGACTTATTCTTTTTTGGTGTTTGAAGCTGTTTTGTTACTCATATGAGGACCTATTATCTTGTTGCATACAAGTCTATAGAAATGTTTTTTTTCCCTGTCTCCTGCTGACTTTTTAACAGACACTGTATGTAGACAGTGCAATCACAACTTTAGTCACTTATTACATTGTTTTTTGTGATGATTTTGGATGGGGGGAATTATGCAAAATCAGTTTTTTTGAGCTTTGTATCATATTACGTATACTGTAATCCCCTCATCAAAAGCATACGCAGTGTTGCTTTCCTAATTTATGCATGTTTGAGAAATCTTTGAATCTCTTGTGTACTGCCCAAACACTTGCTTACAAACCACCTATTTACATAAAGATCCACCCCCTTGAAGCTCAGTCTGTAGCCTAGCTCCTGCCCCACAGAGCAACACTCCCCCCAACCAATGTTGCAAAGGTGTGCTGAAGTGGGAGTGTTGAAAATGGTAGGAAGTTCTTAAAGAGAAAGGGGCCAATTTCAAGACATTTAGATATGGCATGATGCAAAGTCAAATTATTTTTTTATATATGCAGCATTTTCATAACAACTGAAGGTAACAATTACTTGATTGAGGTAAAAATTGAACTATGTACAGTATGTGCCTGGAAAATACACCCCCACTGCTTTCTTTTAAACAAAACATGACCCAGTCTGTTACTCAAATTATTTWGTATTCATGTTAAAAGTTTATTTATTTGTTCCATTTGATTTATATATCAAACTTTTCTGTAGCTTTCCTAAAYAATTTGTGGCTTCTCTCCTCACGTTGCCTGGGACAGAGCATTCCTCTTGGTTCACAAAGTCAACTCCTCTCTTTTTAGTCTCCAGTGAGATGCTGAACAGGGGCCCTGCCCTATAGTGGAAGAGAAGACCCTGCCAGAGGCATGGCTGCCAGAAATTCACCCCAGGTCTGCTCTCTAGGGTTGTGTTCAGAATGTAGGCAACTCAGATATGCTCTTGAATTCATTGTGTCCACAGTTGTTGTTGTTGTTTTTAATTCAAAAGGATTCGGTCTGTGTGTCCAAATAACACCTACTGTATCTACATGGTTTTCTGTGATAATGTCCTAAGTGTCAGTAATGTTGGCAAGAAATACCTACAAATGGATCTAAAGCCCATATTTTCCCCCAGGCTTTCTAGAATCAGCGGTTCTTTTTCATTCTCACAATTCATGGCATGTATATATCTTGCATGATTGTGTTTATTTAAATTACCCCAGAGTCCTGTATGTTTTAGCCATCCTTAAGTATCTAAAAATTATGACTTTGAGCATTTCAGAAGGTCACGTTTAAAGATGAAACTTATCTTGACCTGACCTTGACATTGTAACGAGTTSCACTTGGTTTAATGTTTAATCGAAGAGGATTCATCTTGCCATTCACTCATTCAGTAGCTCATGAAGGGTAGAGGTTAGAGATGTTGAACTGAACAAAAAATAAATATGCTAGTAAGTCCTCACCACCTAAGTGCCATTGTCCGGAGCAATTAACTTCAATATCTGTTATTTTATTTTATTGATTTTGTTTTTTTAGCCCAAGCTTTTGGCTGGTCCCCCATGAAATGAAGCTGTAATTAATTGGATTGAAGAAATGTAATCACACTGCCACACCATCACTGTTTGCTGAAGATATGCATGTATGTAATTTGCTTAATTGTGGCAGGGTGTGTACTTGCACACATTTACACTAATGTGCTGGTTTCACCTTGCAGCTGGGAGAAACTGTGTGGAAAATGAAGATGCAGCTGAATGRCTGTGGAGGTTATTGTAATGCAAAGTAATGTTACACTAGTTTAACGTTTTGGGCTTCAAAAACAAAACAATAGTTTTGATTTTATTCTAAGACGTTTGTGGTGTTGATAGTTTACCATTTCTAGTAGTCATCTAGAGGCTTATTGTATCTACCATTACAAATAATGGTGATTGCTGCTGCTTTTTGTTTATTTAAATTAAATACATTTTGATGCTCTTAGAAAGCACTCCTGTCACACTCATGGTAGTGAAAAAAGTCAATATAATCATCTTAYTTCTATGCATACTGATTAATGAACAAATGGTGATTGGCTCATTAATTTGGTTGATGTGATTGAGCAAAACCAAGCGCAATAAGTGTGTTGTTTTCCCAAACTGTTTCACAATTTCAATTTTCATTTGCATGTTTAAATTTTCGCTTTCAACCAAACCTGTGTGAATTAATTTTGTATGTATAAATATTTGATTAATCATGATTTCATTACATTTCACCTGTGGTGGGTAGAGTAGCACTACTTCAACATACTTTTACTCAAGTAAAAGTAAAAAGTAGCCATGCAAGACATGACTCAAGTAAATAAGTAATTGGTAAAAAGGCTACTCAAGTACTGAGTAAGATCAAGACATCAATCATTTCAAATTTAAAAATTACATCATCAGATGGACCAAAATATAAAGCTAGGTGGAAATTTTGGTCATTTAAAGATCAAAGTGAAAATATTTCATAAAAATAATGTAATTACAAAAT